TAATATATATATATATATATTATATATATATACATGATTTTAATGAATACTACTAAAAGATAGATAGCATATATACCAAAAGATACTTTTTGGGATTTGAATGATTTTAATCCATTGGGCAAAGTGGCGGTTCCGCCGAAGCTGATTTTGATTGAGTTTCTCATGGGGAAACGGATGATTGAACGATGATCAATTTCTCTCTTGGCACGACAGATTGCATGGGAAGAAAATAGGACCGCTGTGATTTATAAGGGGATTTCTTGAAACGGGGGATCCCCTGATGCCGGTTTCAATATGTTTCACTTATGTTTCGCTGGTCTGTCCTCTGACAAACGGATGATTTCCGACTGGTCGTGCCCCCCTGATCCACCACCGAGGACCGACATCAATGAAGGTGAGAAACTCGGTGCCACAAAGCATCGCCGCGACCGTGAGAAAAAACGGGGGGCATTCTGGAAGGCAAAACGGCTTGGTGGTTTATCTTCCAAAATTTGGGATCTCCAGCCAACATTCAGGGGTTCCAACTAGAATAACACAGGCTTTTAATGTTTGGGTTTACCAGATGTCAGATTTCAAGGCACGGATGCTCGCAACAGGATGTAGAAGCATTCGGTGGCTCCTGAAACATCAATAGCATGTAATAGCAAGGAAGGAACATATATGCAGTGATGCGACAAACAAAGCGTCGCTTACGCAAATTTAAATGCTTTTGAATGTGTGTGGAAGGTTTGCTTCCAAAATGGAAGCTGTGGAAACTATATATATAATATGATATGATATGATATGATATGATATATAATATAATATAAACATTATAGTATAAATATAATATAATATAATATGATATGATATGATATGATATAATAAAATAAACAATATATAGTATAAATATAATATAATATGATATGATATAATATAATATGATATGATATAATATAATATAATAAATATAATATACTATAATCTAATATAATACAGTGTATACGTGGCAATCCCTGGCACACCCAAGGCAGGTTGCGGCAAGAATTCTGCGAAGTGGAAGAGATTGGCAGAGGCGGGGCCTCGTGAAAAACCGCTGCTGGTGGTCCCCCGTGGACCGTAACGGGGTCATTCCAGCATCGATGCTGGATTTGAAGCTTCCCAAGTCCTGAGCCGAAAGATGCCGAAAGCTGTTGGTTGTGTCAAAGTACCCTCTGGTAAACTAACATAACTATGGAAAATCACCATTTTTAATGGGAAAATCAACTACTGTATAAATGGTCATTTTCAATAGCTATGTTAAATTACCGGAGGGTAATATTGCCGGCTGCAGAATGTAATTCCTGGTTTCTGCAGAATCGCGACCAGCTGGATCAGACTAGATCGACTGGCTGATTTGCCTGTTGTGGTGCACCATCATTTGATATTTGTGATGTCAAAGAAGTATAGATAGAAAGTCCAGGGCTCGTAGCCTCTAATGAAGTCCATGAGAGGGAGCTAGACCTACTTGGCTTTGCAAAGCAGTGGAACTGGTTTCTTCATGCCTAGTCCCCCAAGGGTGACCCAATAGATGGATGAAGCCTTCTAATTTGTGAAATCACCTGGCTGGAGGGGTGTTTTATCATGTTGAATCCCCAGGATCAAACATCTCCACACGAATTTCCCGAAAAAGAGTTTTATCTTCATTCTACAGCCATTAGCCTCCTGTAAACTAACGAAGATGTGGAAAACACACTGCAGTTGTAGGTCATGTTCCGAAGGGCTTTTCCCATGGGTTTTCAACAGCTGAGTTTTCAATAGGGTCCCAAGTTTCCTCCCCATGACACGCTGCTTCACCAGGCCAGTTTTCAACGGTCTACAAGGCTCCGACTTAACACCGACGGAGCCAGCGTTTTCTCTTTGGGATGCTGTGGATGCCTTTGAAAATGGGGTTGCACCTCGCCCAACAAAAAAAAAAAGGAACATGATACACCATTGGACTTGGAGGAATGGGGGGAAAATGATGATAAACCATTGATCAACATAAATTCTGGGGTTACACCCCCACAATGAGGATTCATCATTCTTAGGACTAGCCCAAATCAAATCAGGAAACCGATGATAAACCATTGGATTGGGGGGGGTCCGCCAATTTTTCAGACACTTTTCCATGGTTCTAGTTACGGAGCATCGGATGTGATATGAGGTGCTGTCACATCCAATTGGGGGTTTTCTGGAAATAGGGTATCCACAATTCCGGTGGCTTATCATAATTTGTCTCAATTGAAACAGCAACAACTTTCGGTATCGCCCATTTTCGGCCAAACCCATGATATCCAGATATAAGAACGAAAAGATAGGTCATGAAGAACAGGATTGGAATTCAGGTTTCTAATGGCAGGTCACTTTATAGTATTTCATTAAACAAATATGCATCTTTGAACTCCAATGTTCAACCAGGATTTTGCTACTTCGCCAGCTTGCTCATAGGAATGGATACCATTTTTAGTACAGTAACTTGTCACTGTTTTGGGGTACCACCCCCAAAAAAAGGCCGAGTCAAGTCTCATCGGCAGAACTGATCTTAAGATCCAAAAATGATGCCAAGAGCTCATCGAACATTCAGCTCTCTGATGAAGCCACATTAATTGAGACACATTTCTTCTGGAAATACAGGATGCGCCCCCCAGTCGATAGCGTTCAGTTGCTAAAACACAAGTGGCTGAATTCTATGGCTTATGATAGATATACCTGTAGTATTCATGGGGTTTATAAACCAACGTTCACATCACTGGGGGGCACCATCCTGTAGGAGGAACAACTTTTTCCTGTCAACAGATTTTGCTGGTTGATGGCTCGTGAATCTCCAGGCTAAGAACTGCGTGGATCAGTGCCACTATGCTGCCCGGGAGCCATCCATCCATCGAGTGGTTTTTTTTTCGGGACAATCTGCAGAAGTTTGCAGGTGCAGTTGCCTCCATATCTCATCATATATATTATCCAATTCTTGGCTGAACAGTTTGATTGTTCAAACTGCCGTTTGGGTCCATTTGGCAATGATGGGACACCCCAGCCCACAATGATGCTTGACTATCATGTTCTGTATTGACATTGCCATAAAAACGTTGGGGTGCACCAGCAAAATCTTTTTGAACGACCGATGAAACCGGGGAATTTTCGGGGAGGGACTTGGACGGACGCAGCGCGGCTTGTTCTCCGCAGTTTCTATATTCAGGTTCACATTTGACAAAACTGAATGACAGGCATATATATATATATATATACACTGTATATAATATGTACAACATCCCAACAAGCAAAAGATGTGGCAAAATAAAGGAGAACTATTTGCACCAAGTCCGAGCATGACAAGCAACGTGCTCAAAGTTTCTTGCCAGGGACACAAGGAATGTCATTTTTTTTCCTTTTGACCACGCAGCCAGTGGAAAAATGAAGAGCCACGAACAGCTGCGACCGACACAACAGCGAACCCCAAGTCTAGCCCAGACGGCGCTCAGACGCCCAAGAAAAAGTCAGCATCCACAGCCCAGACGGCGCTAAGAAGTGCCTGCGCCCATGAGCGGCGTATGTCGAAATGCTGTGGCAACTCGGTGAGTCAGCAAGTTCTTGATGATTTCAAAAAGTATCCCATTTTCATCCACGAAGAAATTTCAACCAGAGAAACGGGATCTTTCTGTCAGTATCCCATTGTATCCCCAACATCTTTCATCATTTTCAACTTTCAAGCCATTCCATGGTGAAAACTTCACCATCCTCATTGACTTGTCTGGGTTGGAGCCTCCAACATCGGACCGGCGGAGCGTTTCAACGCTGGTGGAATTTTCAGCAATGGGGGGGTGAAAAATGCTCACTGGATTCATGACGACCCCAGTGATAGTCTGCTAGAATGGTACTCCCATAACCAAAGAGGCCAGTGGTTGATTAGTCCACGGTTGACAGTACTTGATGTTTTCCAATTTTCTGACACATGTATCGGTTACCAAACGGGGTAAACCAACATAGATATCGTTTAAAACATGGGTTGCCTAGGTAAGAATGTACAATGGCAGATATGGATTTTCCATAATTATCAATATCTATATCATAATATCAAAATTATATTTATATTTATATAACCTGATGGTGGATGAGCATGACTGAAACATGCTGAAACTGTGCAGCCACCAAAATTTGATCCGCGCGTCAAATGATCCGCGAAGCCGAATTCACAAAGGGCAGGATTGGTCCACCACTGAATCGTCAAATGGGTTTGGTACCTGTGCGCTGGCCATGAAATGGGGAAGATGATTACAGTAACCCTCTGGTTATGTCAAAATAGCTATTGAAAATGACCATAGAAATAGTAGATTTTCCCATTAAGAATGGTGATTTTCCATAGTTATGTTAGTTTACCAGATGGTAACCCTCAGTTAACCAGTTGAAGATAGCCCATGTGACGCCCAAATGTTGCAGTTTCCACCCCCCGTCAGCCCCCAGAGTTCAGCAGGGACCCCTCTAGAGCCGGGCGGAAACGCCGAGGCGTCCGGTAGTTGCGTGTCTTTGTCAGCTGGTTCTTGCGACAAACTGGTTCAACGGCTCCATCCTTGCGAGTCCCAGGACTCGTGGCCTGGTGGAGTAAAGTCCAGCCGTGTTGGCTGTGAAATTGATGGTGTCCAAACAGACACGGCCGTTGCTTCTGAAGATCATTGGAACAAACAGTTATGAATTTCATTCAAAGTGACTTTTCCATACCCAATCGTGCGGCTTGGAAGACGATCTATGAATCTATGCAATTCGCAGGATTTTGCTGGGGGGTTACCTAATCTATTTTGACGGTTGAAACGACGAATCAACATTGATTACCTTCTGGTAATCAAACAAGTTTTACTTAGTTCATCAGTTTGATGATTTTCCCTTCCCCATAGGATCCATGTATGCTATATATGGTAACATTTACCATCAATATACCCCCAATGTTAGCATATATACCATACATGGATCCTATGGGTTCCAGTTGCTCATTCCTACGGAATTTTCCAGCCATGTTTGACCTCTTTGGCTGTTGTCCCTGGCAGGAGGAGGCGGCTCAGCCAACAGGCAGGGGTCAGAGCCTGGGGACCCAACCTTTGGGCAACCTGGGGACCCACGCCTGGGGCATAGGGGGATAATCTTGACACGGCCCGCAATTTACCAGGAACAAGTTGTCTTGACCCCAGAATTTTCGTATTTTTCTTCATGGGTCAACTGAGGGTTTTCCGGAAAACCCATAGGATTCTTCGGATTTCTTCGGCGCTGTCCCGATCGATGAATTCTTGTGAGGCGGCTTACTGTTTCCGGATCCCCATGAATTGCAAGGGAACATCTGGAATCCCCAAGATGGTGCCCTCCCAGTGCCAGGATCACCATGGTCATGTGAATGGCTCAGACCGAGGTGCGGGCAGCGAAAATCAAGGTTTCTGAAGTTGGGATTGAAAGAATGGATCCCAAGTACATAGATATATCATGATATATCATTACTACATTACATATCCCAAATATTCCCAAAGTATTCCAAAATCTGTGGCGGTCCAAACTTGGTTTGCCCAGTACGATCTTTTCACTTCTTGGCTCCGCGAGAGGTCGTCCGCGAGCCAAAATCGAAGATCGACGACTGCAAGGGATCGAAGTCAATGTGCAGGCGCTTGGCAAAAGTTACTGGTTTACGGGTAACCACAGGGGTGTCCTATGAAATGCCATAGCCTAAAACATTCTAAAACATTCTAAAACACTTACATATTATATATATATATAACACATATATATATATGATTACAAATGGATAGAAATCATAAATGGGCTACCTTACCCACAAAATGATTTAACATGTTTGGGTAAATCACTATTAGTTCAGAGCGTATAGAAATGTGTATGAACTTGGAACATCTTTGAACCTGGGGCTTGAAAACATTGGTTTTAAGTTGTCGTTGCCGTGCCCGATTCTTGGCTGTTCAAATGGGTCATGGATCAGCACCGTTCGAAGCTTTTGACTGGCCGCCTTCGTGCGTTCAAATTTGGTGATGACAAGTTGACACTTCCCCGAAAGCAGGATATTTTGTTTTTTTCGTGTACGTATAAAAAGTTGGAGTGACATTTTCGAGTCACTGAGCTGTTCATGAATTTCCTTTTTGTTGGATAATTTGGATACACATCCATAAATCAGAGCTACTTAGCCGCTTTTTTTCTTAGGGTACCATCCAGGTATCATGCATGGGCCCAACCTACCCATGGCCCAATCTACCCAGACCGCGCCCTGGGTCACAGCGCAGGATGGCTGGGAGTTCCCAATAGGTACCAGCGACTTGAATGCATCCTGGAGGGGAACTTGGAAATGTGTTGTTAACGTTTTCCCCATAATAACCATATAACTATGGCATAACTATGGTTAATAATGGTTCATAATGGTTTATGCATCTTTTCAATTCTTATTACCCTCTGGTTATGACTAACATAGCCATGGAAGCCATGGCCCATAGAAATAGATGGTTTACCGAACTGAAAAATGGTAATTTTCCATGGCTATTTTAGATACCCAGATGGCTTTTCAATTAATGTTGGATCCTGATTAATGTAGGGTCCCCCCCTCCGTAAACAAAATTTGGATACTCTTTAATGTGGGAATTTTGAGGATTTCGATCCTGAATAGTGTGTGATCAAACAAAAGATAGATTTCAATTGATTTCAATTGATTTTCAACTGATTTCAAATTACTTTCAATTGATTTCAATTTACTTTCAATTGATTTCAATTGATTTTCAATTGATTTCAATTTACTTTCAAATGATTTCAATTTACTTTCAATTGATTTTCAATTGATTTCAATTTACTTTCATTCCTTTTCAATTAACTTTCAATTGATTTTCAATTTACGTTCAATTGATTTCACTTTACTTTCAACTGATTTCAATTTACTTTCAATTGATTTCAATTTACTTTCAATTGATTTCAATTTACTGTCAATTGATTTCAATTGAAATTCAATTTACTTTCAATTGATTTTCAATTGATTTCAATTTACTTTCATTCCTTTTCAATTAACTTTCAATTGATTTTCAATTTACTTTCAATTGATTTCAATTTACTTTCAATTGATTTTAGGTTACGTTCAATTGATTTTCAATTGATGCCAACTCAATTTATTTTCAATTGATTTCGAATTAGTTTGAATTTATTTTCAATTGATTTCAACTTACTTTCAATTGACATCCACTAGTAATCCCATAGACATATCAGAGAAATATCATGGAAATCCCATAGGAATCCCACAGAAATCCCATAGAAAGATCATAGAAATAACAAGGAATAGCATAGGAACCACAAAGAAATCCCATAAGAATTCCCATAGTAATCCCATAGAAATATCATAGAAACATCATGGAAATACCTTGGAAATTCCACAGGAATCCAATAGAAATCCCACAGGAATCCAATAGAAACCCCATAGAAATATCATAGAAACATCATAGAAATACCATAGAATTCCCATAGGAATTTAATGGCAATCCCATAAGAATACCATAGAATTCCCATAGCATCCCTTCAGAAATCTCATAGAAATCTGCTAGAAATATCAAAGAAACATCATGGAAATCCCATAGGAATCCAATGGAAATCCCATAGACATCCTTTTGAACCCCCATAGGAATCCCATAGAAATACCATCGGCATCCCATAGAAATCCAATAGTTAGTCCCAAATAAATATCATAGAAATACCATGGAAATCCCATAGGAATCCCACAGAAATCCCATAGAAAGATCATAGAAATAACATGGAATAGCATAGGAACCACAAAGAAATCCAATAAGAATTCCCATAGTAATCCCATAGAAATATCATAGAAACATCATGGAAATACCTTGGAAATCCCACAGGAATCCAATAGAAATCCCACAGGAATCCAATAGAACCCCCATAGAAATATCATAGAAACATCATAGAAATACCATAGAAATCCCATAGGAATTCAATGCAAATCCCATAAGAATACCATAGAATTCCCATAGCATCCCTTCAGAAATCCTATAGAATCCCTCCAGAGATATCATAAAAACATCATGGAAATCCCACAGGAATCCTATAGAAATCTAATAGTAATACCATAGAAATGCCATAAAAGAAAAAAGCTTTAGCAGAGGAAAAGGTAAAGGGAATGTTTGAAAAAAAATCACATCAGGAAGCAGCTGGACACAATAGTGGACCCCAAAACAAACATACTATTGTGGATCGTGGTTGCTCATGGACTACCCCCTTGAAAAATTGTTTGGATGCTGTTTTTTTGATGTTAATAAGGCATCATATATTTGGGAAATTGGGCATTTCTGAGAATTTTAAGTGAAAGAAACTAAGAAAGTAAAAGAAAAAAGCTTTAGCAAAGGAAAAGGTAAAGGGAATGTTTGAAAAAAATCACTTCAGGAAGCAGCTGGACACAATAGTGGACCCCAAAACAAACATACTATGGTGGATCAGGGTTGAAAAATTGTTTGGATGCTGTTAATTATTACTGATGGGTCATAATTAACCTTTCTTCAGACAACAGCTGGACACAATAGTGGACTCCCACAACAAACCTATTATTTAGGATCAGTATTGCTCATGAAAAAAACTTTTTTTTTGGCTAAAAGAAAAAAAATAATAATAAATGAGAAAACTAAAAATTAAACCATTCAAAAATTCAAATAGAAAAAAAACAAAACAGTTTAAAAATAAAAACAATTTAGAAAACAACTGAAAAACTTACCCCAAAATCCTGGGAACACAATAGTGAACCCCCCCCCTCGTTTCCACAGATTCAGAATTATTTTGGAGTCTGGGGACACAATAGTGTACCCACACACTAATCAGGATACAACATTATTATTAGATTTACCGCCAGGGCACCAGATTTTTCCCCATAGACTCCTACAACAGAAGTTTCCACGAACGATTCTACTTGGGTTGATGGACCACGGACCACATTCGTAGCCTTTCAAACAGTTTTAATTTAAAACGACTAAAATCTTCGATCCACCACGCAGGCCACGCGAAATAGCCATCCGAAGCATAACGGTGATCCGCAAAGAGAGATAAAATGTTTTGTTCTGAAACAGCGCGCGGGAATTGTTTTTCGTCCTAGTGAAGTATTAATATATTAGATATAATGATTGGTATTTTTGTATATTATTATTGTCATTATTATTGTCCTTATTGTAATTATTTTTGTTGTCATTATTGTCACTATTGTGATTACAATTAGCATATACTAGCAGTATTACTTATAGTAACAGTTAGTAATTATGATAAGTAATACTGCTAGTATATGCTAATTGTTATTATTACAATTATATTACAATTATATACTAGCGTATTACAATATTACAATTAGCATAATGATTAGCATTTTTGTATATTATTATTGTCACTATTGTTATTATTCCAAGTTGGTTTTTCGAAACGGTTCGGGAGTCCAGCCATTTTTTCGATGAAAGTTTCATGCAGCAAGGTAAGGCCTCGGTGGCCACGATGTTTCGCGACAGGTTGATTCATAACTTGGTGCACTATGGTAGAGTTTATGGGGGATTATATTATAATACATATTTATATATATATATAATAATAATGTGTATATATATATATATATCTATATATATATATATCTATATATATATATTTGGGGGTTTCCAGACATGGGGGTACCCCAAATAGATGGTCTATTTCATGGACAATCGGAAGATCAAATGGATGACTGGGGGTAACCCCATTTCAGTCACATCACTGGACATCACCTTGCTGGGACCCAACGTCATCCAAATTGATTCGACAGTGAACAGTTCATCCAACTTATCCAATGAAATTTCCAATATAGATTCTCCAAGAATTCATCTAGTCTATCATTGGACTGTACTTGGATAATCTATCAATATCTATCATGAATTATACATATTTAGAACTTATCATGACAGATACAATCGTATACAATCTGGTTGGTGGTTTGGAACATGAATTTTATTTTCCCCAATAGTTGGGATGATGATCCAATCTGACTCCATCATTTTTCAGGGGGGTAGGTTATGGTAGGTATACCACCAATTAGTCTGAAAAGCCATCTAATCTACACTAATAATGATGATGTGTTTGACTAATTTAATACCATTAATACCATCATTAATACCATCATTAACTAGATTTCCGTGGTCCGGGAGTTGGTCCCATTGGTCCCCCACGGGAATCTTCTAAGGACTCGGCTTCCAGAGTTTGATCGGCGTGGATGGCTTTGGTAGCGGCAACCTCGCGGCCGCACCTTGCTGTTCAAAAGGGATCGATGATCAATTTTGGGCCATGTTTGATGGAAAAATGATGATGGACGCTTTCCGGTGATTCTCATAGTTAATCCCATAGTTAATCCCATAGTTAATCCCATAGTTAATCCCATAGTTAATCCCATAGTTAATCCCATAGTTAATCATAGTTAATCATAGTTAATCATAGTTAATCATAATTAATCATAGTTAATCATAGTTAATCATAGTTAATCATAGTTAATCATAGTTAATCATAGTTAATCATAGTTAATCATAGTTAATCATAGTTAATCATAGTTAATCATAGTTAATCATAGTTCATCATCATCATCATCATCATCATCATCATCATCATGTTCATCATGTTTTCCATAATCAGTTCGATAATCAGGTAATCCCATACTTAATCATACGGTTTTCCATTGATGAACTGATTAATGTCAACCCCGGATTAATAAACCCTGGTTGATTCATTGTGGTGGTTCCCCTCAAATAGTGATAGATAGCTACTGAAATGGTACCCTCCCAACTAAACAGCCGTTTGGGGTTTATTAATCCGGGGTTGACATTATGGAACTGACTAGGGATTAACTGATGAACTATGGGATTTTGAGGTTTTTTGACTGTTAAAACTCTTCAAACCCTTGGGCTTTCCCCATCAAAGCTCTTTTACTGATTTGTGGTTTAACCATACTGTATATCTGTATATTGTTGATTTTCTATCCTACAAATCGGATGATGATTCCAATTGGCGAATAATTTTTCTTTGACCACCAACCAGATAAGTTATGTACCAACTTCCGTATATAATATAACCAAAGTTGCAACTATTGGGGGGTCATTCTAAAACCCTCCTCTTAAAATTTAGTAAGCAGATTTGTTGAGAACTTTTGGGTAGTTCAAGACCTGCATCGCGCAAGTTTCGCGCAAGGCCTGCCCAAGGTTTTGCACAAGGGAAATTGTATTAATATAGTGGTATGTCATGTTGTTTCTTCATGTTTCTTCAACATGCTCTTGTATGCTTGCGTGGCAATTCTGCTTCTGATTTTTGTTTCTCGCACTGGCAGTCTCATGCAGGTCCTGTGCTCAAGAGGCAAACAAGAATGTAAATTAACAATAAGTAACAATCCTGCCAAAAAGATAAATCTTCAGCCCGAATCCACGCAAACTTCGCGCAAGAAACGCGCAAACTTCAAGTCCAAAGGTGACCTGTAGTCCATGCCGCCCAGTCAAAAACACAAACAGGCACATGGATCAATGTGTAAATAGGTAAAAAGAGGAAGATGTAGTTTCTGACAAGAAGATACGCGGACACGCAAACATATGAGTATACACACGAGGACTACACGAAAACGAACGCGAATACGGGCACAAAAAACATGGGCAACCAATAACTCTAAAGGGACTGTGGTCGCGCAAGATATGCGCAAGGCTGGCCCAAGGCCGGCCTAAGAGTTGGGCAAAAGAATTTGGAACAACCCCCGATGTGTACATCACTCGTCCTTGTCCTTAGGTAAGTTGCTTCACAAGTGTAGGATACTGGTGGAGATGTTTGCAGTTGGATGGGTAACAACACGATTACCCATTGGTAAAGTAACATAGCCATAGAACATCACCATTTCAATAGGTAAACCAAGTATAAATGGGCCATTGTTCATAGCCATGTTAGTTCACGTTGGTTTATAACTCGAAATCCCCGTCTTGCATAGTTCTGGGTGAATTGTAACAACACTCTTTTCCACTTAAGGTTAGTTCATAGAGGGCCAACCCCCTATTAAAGAACGAATATGCAAAACATGAACAATTGGGCTAATATCTCATTTACACACATTTAACACCTTCCGCATCCTTCCGCCCAGTGATAAATGGACGATATACCCAGCTATTTCTCTTGGTTGCTGTAGGTTGTGAACACCCACTTGCAAACCATTGTTCATGGTTCAAACCCTCTGGCAATCAAACCTGGCACTGCACTGGAAAAGTCCGCATTTATAGATGATTATTATACCATGAAAATCCATGAAAAACCGTCCACTTGGTTCGGGGATTTCCCAGCCACGGTTGATGAATTCTGAGATCGGCATCTCGGTGCTGGCGGGTTACAAGTACAGCTCCGTGCAGATCAGCATGCCTATTGATTATTCATTTTCAATTGACCATCAGGCCAGATGATTGGAACGGGAAGGTGGGGAACTTTCCGGCCAAACTTGTTTGTCCACTTAAAAGCCCAGAGGGGAATCGGCTGGTTTGAAACCCACTCTTTTGATGTTGGCCGTTTGGAAATGGGGATGGGTCATGATGGGTCAACAGTTCACCCATGAAATCTTGGAATAGCTGGTTGACCACCAGGCTGGATGGATAGATTTTCTGGATGGGAAGGATTGGAAAAAACATGGAAGACATCAAAGCGGATGGAGAGGATTGGAAAAAAAACACGAAGTTTAACATTGCATGCAGTAGGAGAGAAGATTTCTTGGGATGCTTCCAACATGTTCCAACCAATTTGGGGATGGTTAGAAGAAGACTGATTCTACAAACAAAAACCTCCATGCAGTATGAATTTGTAAGGCTCAGGAACGTGACTGCAGTACCAGTAGAGATAGTTGCTTTGCATTTGCCTTGCAAAGTAATTTGGGTACCACAACAGGGTCAAACATGTAGATGAGATTTCTTATGCATGTTTAACATTGTTTAACTGCATGTTTCCTAGAATTGCTTCAAAAATCCCCCACCATGTTTTTTTTTTTGGAACAACCATGATTTCCTTTCCGTCTCCCATCAAGCCATTGAACTTTCAACGTTGCAGTGGTTTTTTCTGAGTTTCATGGTCCAAGTCCTGAAGTTCGAAGCCAGGAAGCCATCGTGAAATTGGTGTATTCCGATGCAACTCGCGATGCCTGCGAACGTGCAGACTACAATGTCCCGATGGCTTTGACCCAAAATAGCTGCTGTTCCAGAAGTGATTTGGAGCTAGCGGAACCGGTGCTTTTCAAGACTCGTTTGTGTTGGGATTCAGCATTTTCGTGCGATCAAAAATTGCAATTCACCCATGTAAAAAAACCTGGGAGTGGTAAACATGGTTATCTGGTTGGTGGTTTGGAACATTTTTTTCCATATATTGGGAATAATAGCTATGTTAGTTTACCACAGGGTACATCCCATGGATATTTTGCATACAATATGCCTGGTTGGTGGTTTGGAACATGAATTTCATTTTTCCATTCAGTTGGGAATGTCATCATCCCAACTGACGAACTCACTCCATCATTTTTCAGAGGGGTAGGTATACTACCAACCAGTTATTTTATATCTATAATCCCATCATATATCCATATATAATCACTATTATTGGTATTATAACCACTATTATTAGTATAGTTGAGGGGTAGGTCAACCAACCAGTTCTTGATGATTAGGGATCAAGTCCCGGGTCTGTCAGATCACCATAGCTGTGTCCACAGCGGCTGCCGAAATCTCCATGGGAATCATGGGAAAAATGATCTGCAAAGGATTGCAAAGGGTTGTATATAATATGTATACATAATATATATATATATGTATGTAATATGTAATGTGTATGTATATATATATATATATGTATACATGTTATATATATATATATGTATATACATGTTTATGGTGATTTTCCCGCTAGCCGCTAGTCAGCTTAGATTATCTTCAGATCCTTTCTACTTGGTACTTCAGATGCCGGCCCTAGGAATGGGAGAATCTGATCGTGGCTCCAAGTAGGTCTATCATGGTCTATCCATCATTATAAAATTTCCAATTGATTTCCAATTTCAAAATCATCATAACTTTGCATGATTTCCATGATGATTTCCATATGATTTCCTTGTATTTTCATGTATTTTCCTGATGATTTGTGGGACGATATGATCATTTTTGAAGTGAAGTCCTAGCTGTCCTAGCGTTGCTGGGACAGACCTGAGGTTCCACTGCTTCGACGCTGGGGCTTTCACCGTTGGCTTCTGGAAATGTGCTGAAGATGCCAGAGGGTGGCAGCAACGTTGCCGGATTCCATTCAAGATGGATCATGATGGATCTATGATCTTAGCAAAATTGGGGATGTAACAACCATATTATAATGGGGATATAATGATCATGATATTATTATTATGAACATTATAAATAATCATTATTATATAAATATTTAATTGTGGATGTAACAAACATGGATTTTTTGGACAGAAAACTGTGAAACATGGGCGTAAACCAACTGGTGATGGGTAGTTTTATATGTTTCAGATGCTCATCTCTCTTGCCAGAAACGTGGGAATATAATATGACACTCAAATACCAAACTCAAATGCAGTGTATGACTGGCCTCAGTCCATTGTGGTTGATCCATGCTTGTTCCATCGCCATGAAATGATTTCAATGGTACACAACCTTTTTTTGCTGATACACTGGAGTCCAGAAGTGATGAAGGGGTTTCTTAAAGTGGAGGACCCCAGCCATCTACCATCTTTTTCCGACGTTTCACTACCTGGTGGTTCATCCCAGTTACACTGCAGTTACACGTAGTAAGTGGCTTATAAGGCTTTGTATAGCCTAATACCTTTTGCAGGTGCCAAAGCCTACTTATACTGTACTACCTCACTGAAAAAACTGCTTGACTTCTAAACTACTGGCTGGGAGGAACCACCAAGTAGGAAACCCACACTTGAAATCCCGCCAGAATTGCTGGATTTCGGGGAAATCAACAGATTGGGTATTTTTCATGTTTGAATCATAAAATCATGATTATCCCATGAGAATGTGTATTTTTTCAATCGGCCCCCTGCCTCTGGATGGGTTGGATGGGTCAACATTTAAATCACCAGTCAGATGAAGATTCAGCTACAGTATACTCAGGTGACCAGATTATTTTGATCTGACTTTTGAAGGGGTACCAGGCCTGGTTGGTGGTTTCAAACATTTTTTATTTTCCAGAATATATGGGAATAATCATCCCAACTGACTAATACTTTTCAGAGGGGTTGAAACCACCAACCAGAGGCTGTTGATCCCTATTTTTGCAGGTTTATTTCGCTCTTTCCGCAGAAGTTACAGCCAAGGCTTTGTTTCGAGTGGTTCAGTGGCCTCATCTAACCTTTATGCATGGTGGCTCATATGAGTTTCTCAGGCAGCATGTGGTGCACTGGATGAACCAGACTGGCAGTGGTGTTTCTGTGCGTCGAAGGCTTCGGAAATAGGCTCAGTTCCATATATTTTTGCACCAGCCTGGTACAATTGAATGATATAGAAATATATAGAACAACTTGAACTTGGTTCTGGTTTTGAGATGCTGAATTTCAATCTGTGCACCAGACAAGTCTGACGTCACAATGACGCCAGTAGTTCAGCACTAGCATGCCGGGCAGTTTTACATAGTTTTAGACACCTTCATACGGTCTATATGGATATTTCCTGAAATGGGGGTACCTCCAAATCATCGGTTTTAATAGAATTGTCCATGAAATAAAACCAGCCAGCTATTGGGGATTCCCCATGACTATGGAAACGCCCATATATCAACCAGCACTTGTACCCAGTTGTCCTTGATTTTGTTGATTTGCCCACTGAGGCTTTGCTACTCTCCCGACGGGAGCTTTTTTGGAGATGAGTGCTTTGGCGAAGGGAACTCATTGGCGATCAATGGCTTAGGATCAATGAGATCCCATTCTGTCTGAAGATTGAATATGATTGAGGCATATTATTATCACTATTATATTGGATATGTACATATGATCATAGAACATACAATATATCTATACGGTAACGACATTTATATAAATATGTGGAGGGCGGGCCAGACCGCGAGGCCCCGGAGGTAGTATGAAATACCAGTTCGTATATCTAAATGTAGTTACCGTATGTTACCGTATGTTAAAATGAATTGGATTCTGTATGTTTAAATGGCCGGGCGGGCCAAGGAAAACCTTCCCGGAGGTAGTCTAAAATACCTGTTCGTATATTGAAAAGTCTGTCTATAATGTAGTTACCGTAGTATAGATTCCGAATTGCTGCAAATTTTTAGGAGTGTTATGTCACAGGCAGTCTTATTGTACCAGGCGCATGATGTTGATTTTCAACGTATTTGGGATTATCACTGTTTGTCATGTTCGTATCCCCCAGTGCATCCCTCTAGACAGAATATTTTGGTTGCAAAGTCTAGCTGTTTGTGCGTATTCAGTTTTTTTTTTCAATTCCGACAGGCCGTAAATCACAAACACACTTCCAATATATATATATATAACGTAGACGTCCTTTTCCCACGAATTGGTTGATAGAGGGTTCCCCCCCATTCAACAACCAATAGGTAGACACTACAGTGGATGGTGGCAAAATCCTGCACCAGTTGATAGGTGCTTTATCCATCTCCCGGTTTCAACCATTGTGGTTTCCGGATTTCGCAACCATCCACAGTACCAGAACTACCAGAGGGCTTGGTAAATCTCGCACGGCTCGGAGATTTTGAAGATCACTTTATATCACTTTCACGTACCCTCTGGTAATTTAACATAGCTATGGAAAATCACCATTTTTAATGGGAAAATCCACTATTAATGGTCATTTTCAATAGCTACGTTAAATTACCAGAGGGTATCTGTTGGAGATTATATGGCTGTATATCCCCAATAGTTGGGTGATGTTCAAGTAGGATCAATTAGGACATTTACCACAATAAACATACCATAAACATCCATAAACTGCGCGGCTGAGGTGGAAAAATAACATCGTCCCGGTGACAATCACTGTGGTGGGTGCTTCGGCTTAAGCATCAATGGAAGGAAAAAAAATGAAAACAACAACGGTATGTTTATAGTTACGGTACATATGACATATAGTTATCCACGACTTGTATATCCATAAACAATATGCCATATATTGATTCCAAGAACTTGATGAAGGGAAAAAAACACCATTTTTCACAGCCCCAAATCGTTGCTGGGGACAACATTCATGTTTCGTTTCGTGTAAAAAACCCTTAAAACAATCAGATGAAGGTTGTGTCAATGTTGAGGCTGATTGTTTCAATTGAAAGTTGTTGTTAAAAAATCCCTAACCTTCACTTTTTCCCTTTCAATTTGAGGCAAGGCAAACTTGAGTCGGCGGGAACACGTTCTGATTTTTTTAGCATTCCGATTCGCAGTTGATCGCATCACGGATTCAACATTTCAAACTAAAGTCTTGCTCGTTTGGGAAAAGGCATTAAGCTATTGACCCATTGATACTTCTAGTTGCAAGACACATATCTCGATTCCCGCATTCTTGTCAGTTCAACACAAGACTGCTTGAATGCACCAAAACAATCTTCAGCTGAGGCGTTGCTTCCAACTGCCTTTCCAATGGTTGCGTGTTTGCATTGGCTGAAACACCTGCCCCCCTTCCATGGCTCCAGGTACCAAAATGCAGCCCCCAAATCCAAATTCGCTCCCCATGGGGCCCCACTAAAAGACCTGGAGGTTGCCAACTCAACAGCTGTCACCATCTGTCACCTGTGCCAGAGAAAAAAATCGCAGTGATCCCCTGGTTGATTGATGTTGATTGGTTGATTGGACGTTCCATTGCCGATTGTCATCTGCTTCCAACACAGGGCTTCCCTATGACGGTCAGATCCTTGGATAACCAAATTCCCCAGGCTTCTCCGCAAGGATTTTTGTTCGTTTCGACCACTGAACCAATTGTCCATCTCTAATGATATAGCTAAGAGGTTGACCAAAAAATATAGCAAAAAATGCAAGAACTAAACTCTTCGCTTTTGTCACTTCAAGTTGTACCATTCCTTTTTTAACCCAGTGCTGGTGTCCACGGTTGGGCATCCAAGGCTGTTTGGCCAATGAACGGTGGGATTGCTATATGGCCTATGCAGGTGAGCGAACAGCGTTTACTGAGAAATTGCGGGGTCATGTCCAGTTATCTCTTGTTAGCGTTCACAGCCAAAAAAAGCACATTCTCAACTATATCAATACCATGGTTGTTAACCTATACTAAGTCATGGTCATCCATGACGACTGGATGATTTGGGGTAGCCCTATGACTTAGGAACCCCCCCTATACAAACTATTTCATCACCTGGCTGGTGGTTTCAATTTTTGCTACTTTCAACATCTTTCAACCATAGAGCCATGGGATGATGCGGGTGAAGCCAGCAACAAAAGTGGATCTTTTTGACCATAGAGCCACGGGGTGTTTGAGGTGGAGGGGATGATTGATCACTAGAAAATACCCGTAAATTCGCCAATGACTTCTGAATGACCACTGGATCTAATAGAAATATATCTAGAAAAACTCCTCTAAATCAAATTCTCTAAACCGAGTGAAATCATGGTGAAATATCAGTGAAATCCTCTATGAGTGTTTTGGGATTCTGAACAAATATTTGATCTGTCAGGGGATGGGTTCGGTGAAATCATGCGGTTATGGGTCCAACCACGGGAATCAACCTCCAGCTGTTGAGGGTACCTTCCACGACCTTACCAGGCTTTTGACATCTTTTGACATATGAAAACCATGATTGACCCTAGAAATGGTGCTTTTCCATGTTATTATAGTTTCCCAGAGGGTCACCATGTGAAATGCCCTTTTTTTCTGGCCCAGCCGCGCTTAAAACAGCCCTTCCCAGCCCAGCGCTCCAGGCGAAGGCATCGGCAGCTGCCGCATCGATTTCCGGCTCTACGGCGGTGGCCGCGATGGCTGGACGGTGCAATTGGCGGGCACCAGCCGTGTGTCCTGGTCCCAGGTGGGTTGCTGGATGGGTTGCGCTGGGGGTTGCTGGGATGACTACCCTCTGGTAATGTTTAACATAACGGAACATCACCATGCTATTCATGGGAAAATCCACTACAAATTTTTAAATGGTGATTTTCCATAGTTATGTTAAATTACCAGAGGGTATTGAGAGTTAGCCGTTGTGGATCATTCTTCCGAAAATTCCCTAGCTCGGTTTAGCACTTAAGGAAGTTTTTGCGGGAGAATCATGGATCGTCTACTTAGGAGAATCTATTAGGATCCCAAGTTTAGTAGATGTTTGTGGGGGTTTGTTCAGCCATAGATGGGAGTTTTTCGGCTCTGACTTCAGATCACCAGGCTTGTTTGATGCTTGAAGAATTGCTGATGATTTTTGCAGCCTACATACAGTGGATGGTTGCGAAATCCTGTAAAAGTCCCATTATTCATAAACCGTCAACCATCCGTTTGGTGCAGGATTTCGCAACCATCCAAAGTATAATAAGCCTAGCTGGTTGGTGGTTTGGAGCATTTTTTATTCCCAACAGCAGGGCCTGTTGGGTTTCAATCTCTAGGGCTGGGGCTGGCTTGCGGGGACTTGCAGCCTTCAAAATCCGGAATGGAACCCTGGAACCCTGGAACCCTGAAACCCTGAAACCTTGGAACCCCGGAACCCTGGAACCCTGGAACCCTGAAACCTTGGAACCCCGGAACCCTGGAACCCTGGAACCCTGGAACCCTGGAACGGAACCCTGGAACCCTGAAACCCTGGAACCTTGGAACCCTGCGACCGTGGAACCCTGAAACCTTGGAACCTTGGCACCATGGAACCCTCAAGGATTCTGGAACCCTGCAACCTTGGAACCCTGGAACCTTGGAACCCTGTGGAACCCTTGGAAACCCTTGGAACCCTTGGAACCCTGGAAACCTTGGAACCCTGAAACCTTGGAACCCCGGAACCCTGGAACCCTGGAACCCCGGAACCCTGGAACCCTGAAACCCTGGAACCTTGGAACCCTGCGACCGTGGAACCCTGAAACCTTGGAACCTTGGCACCATGGAACCCTCAAGGATTCTGGAACCCTGCTACCTTGGAACCTGGAACCTTGGAACCCTGCAACCCTGCACACCTGGTACCCTGCTGGGATCCTGGAACCCTGAAACCCTGGAACCCTTGGAACCCTTGGAACCCTGGAAACCTTGGAACCCTGAAACCGTGGGACCCTGGTACCCTGGAACCTTGGAACCCTTGAAACCCTTGAAACCCTGAAACCTTGGAACCCCGGAACCCTGGAACCCTTGAAACCCTGAAACCTTGGAACCCCGGAACCCTGGAACCCTGGAACCCTGGAACCCCGGAACCCTGGAACCCTGAAACCCTGGAACCTTGGAACCCTGCGACCGTGGAACCCTGGAACCTTGGAACCCTGCAACCCTGCACACCTGGCACCCTGCTGGGATCCTGGAACCCTGAAATCCTGGAACCCTTGGAACCCTTGGAACCCTGGAAACCTTGGAACCCTGAAACCGTGGGACCCTGGTACCCTGGAACCTTGGAACCCTTGAAACCCTAAAACTTCCAAACCCTAAACTCTATGCGCGCTGCGCGCGCTGCATGCATTAAAGTTGTGGTTCAGTTGATCGAGCCATAACTCCATTTGCAGTCATGTGTGGTCAAAAGACCATAAGGTTTAAAAGATGGATGGCATGCAACATGGCATGGCCACCTGCGCAAAGAATACACGCCACTGAACAAATGGCTCAAGATGCAAGCTCTTGAAAAGATAGAGCGCGTCAGCAGCTGCAAAGTTGCACCTGTGTGTGAGAAACCACGGGTTATGAGCCCAAAGTGACTCTACCTGGCATGGAGTTGAGCCGACGGCGAGATTCGTCCTTGCAGCGGCGTGCAGCTCAAGCGCTGGCTGATGAAGCGGCTGATGCGCAGTTGCAGCGGTTGGTGGATGACGTGGCAGCGACTGGGACTTCTGGGGCAACAGCGTTGTCCGATGTGCCTGGGAATACTGGGATGGTGTCTGGTGTTTCTGGGGGTGACTTGTTAGCTGGTTTGCAACCCATAGGTCCACCGATGTCCTTCTCTCCGGGTGATTTTCTTGAGCCAGTTAGAGGTGAAACTACTAAAGGCGAAAAGAACCTCGAGGTAAAGGGAGAAAATCCTGAAGTGAAACGTGTTGTTGTGTCTGAACCGAGTTCTGATGCCCGTAGAAGTGATGGTGCTGATGGGAATGCCTCTGGTTCCCCCCAAAATGGTAACGGTAAAGGTCAAGGAGGCCATGTTGCCACGGGAAAGGGAAACGGTGGGACCCAACAAGTTACCCAGGGTTCAAGGGTTCGGCAGGCGAAAAATGAGCCTGGTCAGCCAAGTGGGTTGGACAGGAATGTTGTTGGTGAAAACCCTCCTCAAATGTGGGTCACCGGTGATGTTGTGGGGAAAAATGAAATCCCAAAAAATGTGGTGCAACATGGTAGTGAAAAACATGTTGTTCATGGCCAAGGGGTAGAGGGATCAATGCCTAGTGGTTTGGGGGTCCAAAGCCAAGTGAACCCGTTTTGGAGTCCTGACTGCAAACGTGAAGCTCTTCGAGAAGCTTATGGGCCTGGCTATGAAGGTCAGGACCCTATGCGACTTGGTTTTAGTGCTGGGTTTCAGGATGCTTCGCAACTTGGATTTAGCGCTGGGATTCAGGAGCCACTGCAGTCAGTGTCAAACACCACCACACCACAAAAAGGGTATGTTGAAATGGATCCTGTTGAGCTCTTTAGGCTTAGGTGTTTGCGTGATGCCGAAGAAAGGTTTCGGCAAGGTGTGCTGTCTTTGAAGTCCGAACCAAAAAGGGAAGTAGGACAAAAGATGGTATTTGATGAATGTTGTGAGGGTTTGGGAGTTGTTGGTGGAAAAGAGGATGGCATGAAAAATGAACCATCCCTGCAAGGGTCACAAAGTTCCTTTGTTTCGGTGCCAGAGCCTTTGGTTGAACTGTTTATCCCTAGGCCTCCACCGGGTCCACCACCACCTTCGCCTCCGAAAGTGTCTGTTGTGGGATGTGGGAATATTGTAGGGAATGTTTGCCCCCCACCTCCTGTGTTGCCGCCATTTCCGCCTTCGATCACTAGCTTCGGCCCAAGCTCAGGCGTTTGTGGTGAAAATCCCTCGGAAAATCTGAGGACTGTGGATTTGCCGAAGTTGTCAGGTGATGCAACTGCGGTTCAATATGGTGATTGGCTCAGCGTGGTTGACACGATGATGGGCGACTTGTCGTACACCAGTGAAACTTGGTGGAAAATGGTCCGTGGTGTGTCGGATCAGTGTTATCAAACATGGTTGATTTCTGGACCTCTTGAAAGGTTGAATTTGAAACCTCAAGCCACTCCTGAAATGGGAATGTTTCCAAGAACAGAGCGTCGTGCACTGTCTATGCTGTTGGCTGCAATTCCTGAAAATGTGAGGGATGAAATGATTGCTAGCCGAAAACTGACTGTTGATCAATTGCTCTTTCGGTTGTCAGTGTTGTTTCAACCTGGAGGGTCTGCTGAACGTACCAAATTGTTGCACATGTTGACTGATGGAAAATGTGGTAACAGTGTGAATGAGATTTTGGAATGGCTGCGTCAATGGAGACGGAATGTTCAAAGGGCTGTAGAACTGAATGTTGTTCTCCCTGATGGTATTGTGCTGTTAGGTGCCCTTTCCAAATGCTCCGACTGCCTTAGCCAGAAATCTCCGCAAGTTGCCTACAGATTGAATTCGGTGCGCCAGCAGCTCAACCTTGACCGCCAGCCGCACACTGCCGTGATTCTTCGCTACTCCGATCCGAGCATCTTCAAGCTGAAGCTGAGGACCTGTTGCTTGGTGTTGGGGGGAAAACGGGGACATCTGTGAAAGCTGCTGCATTGGGTGTGGATAGGCCTCCAGGGTTGCCACAAAATGGGGATGATGGGAAACCCCAAACTCAGAAAAAATATCCATGTAAGTATTGGATGACCGAAAGAGGGTGCACGAGAGGTGATTCATGTAAGTTTCATCATGCTCAGTTGGATCCCAAAAGTGGTAGATGTTTTAATTGTTCGGGTGTTGGACATTCACGGACTGATTGCCCAGTGAAAAAAGGGAATTGGAACCCCAAAAATGATACCCCAAAAAAGGTTGCAAAAACCACCAAAAGTGAGGGTAAGGGGACCCCCGAAAAGGGAAAGGGTTCTGGTGTCCATGAAAGCCCTGAAAAAACCTCAAATGCTGCCGCAACGGCAGATGTGTCTCTTGGATGTGAAACGTCAAAACGTACGGATGGGAGTGAGAATGGTGGGAACCCTGAAAATGTGTCTGGGATCATCACTGATGCTTCCACCTTGTTGAAAACGTTGAAACCGTGCAGTAAAGCGGTGAAAGTGAAACGGGTTATGCCCTCTGATGGGCCGACTGGTCTCTTGGATGGTGGTGCAACAAATGCACTCCGTAGGGGAACTCCGCAGGAATTGGAAGCCTCTGAAACTGTGTTGGTTGAATTGGCACATGGGTCTGTGGAACTGAAACAACACCCCCTTACGGGAACTATCCTTGCTGAAAAAGCCGTTGAACCCATTGTACCACTTCGAGGGTTGATCGAATTGGGTTTTGTCATCAAATGGAGTTCAAATGGATGTGAAATCAAACACCCCACTAGGGGCACAATCAATTGTTGGCTTCGGAATGGTTGTCCTGTTGTTTCCGAGTCAAATGCACTGGCCTTGATTCATGATGTGGAATCTATGCAAATGGCGAAAAGAATCCCTGTAGGAACTCATGAACCTACCCCCGGAAATGTTGAGGAATGGTGGAGTTCTAGGTTCCCAAATGTCCCAAAAAGAATTTGGAAATACATGAGTGGTCAAAACATGTCCTTACAGGGTTGTCACCTGCCGTGGAACCGTGCACAAAGGCGACGTCACTCTCAGGCCAAAGCACTGGTGATCCACTTGTATGCGGGCGAATCAGCCAAGGAATGGGATCATGGATGG